ATGCGAGCCACGGAGCCAGTTCTGTGGTGCATACCTCTCACTTGGAATAATAATGATGAAGATTGCAGGGAACTTTTCGCAGTTGTTTGGGGTTCAGTCTGACCTAAGATGGATGAAAACGGGAGACTGTTATCTCAACTCTTACTTTTTAAGGATGAAAATAAAGAGAAAGGCTGATGAGAATTTTGCGACTGACTTCCACTGGGTGAGCTGCTGACACCAACATTAGGTTCCAATTTATCTTTAAAAATTACCACACAAGGAGATAGACGAGGAGGGGAAGAAACAGTTTTCATATCATTTTTAGATAACACAAAGTGACTGCTGAGTGGACATTTTAAGGGTGTTTTCACAACTGATAGTCCAGTAGATGAGGGACCAAGATTGCAACATTTGTTACACGTGCTGTTCACTTTCACACTGAACTGTCTTAAATGGCCCAAACATTTGAAAAAACACTTCACCTCCTCGCCTGAGGTGGTGCTGCAGCAAGAACTGCTGAATGAAACAACACAAAAACCCCAGAAGAACACACTGAGGGAAACTTCATTCTTAATGAAATGTAAACAAAGATGGAGTAACGTCAGATTTTACTGATTGTAGGATTTCTCTTCTGTCTTTAGTAAAAGATCACGAGCCATTTCTCCCGCTAGCAGTAGACTCTCGTATTTGTTATTGTTGTCTTTACCCAGAATGCAATGGTCTTCTTCCTGCTTTTCTCGATTGTGCATTCATACATCCCCAAACAGACTTTCTAGGCAAACAAACTATGAGATAAAATGACTTCGTATTTCTGTAGAGCTTTTCAGGACCTTCAACGACACTTTACAATAAACTACCAATTAGCATGAACAACATGGCTAGCTAACGTTGCAGTCTTTGTGTGTATTTTCTTGACAATGTAGATGCTCAACCACATTTTCAAATCCATCACATTTAATAGCAGACAGAGGTTAAATGTTTTTAGTAATGTAGCAGACAGAGTCACTTTTCTGTACTCTGATTAGCCTTCCTATTAGCCACCCTGCCTGAATAAACATTAGACGCCTTGTAATGGAAATATGAAATTTTTTTTAATAAATTATCTATGTTTCTGTGCACGGTTAACCTAAATAATTAGATTTTTACTCATTACAATGATGGAGAACACATTTGGAGCTTGAGTTTAATGTCTCTCTTTTTCCTCTGCCATGTGACCTGCTGTCCTACGTTACTGACAGATGGTCCCTAGTAAAGGAGAAAAATCTGTGTTGAGGGAAGCTTGTGATTCAGTTTTAAGTAGTTCAAGTTAAATTCTAGGTTTATAATGCATATAAAAGACAGACTTTTTCCTTCATGTGGTTTGTCCACACAAGATGAACTGGAACAGCAATGAACTACATTGGACTCTTGGTGAATACCAAGGGTCCAATGACTCCAATGGACTCCATTGGACTGACTCTTGGAGTCAGTCCACTCTCTGACTCCAAGAGTGGGGGTTAGAGACCAAAGTCAACCATGACTATCTAAAATCTTTGAATATTTGAGCTTATAACTGCCTACTTTAATCACTCTAAAATCAAATGTACATTAATATGAACACTGGAAACTGCATTAGCACTACCGCAGAAGCTAATACCTAGTCTTCCTTTTCTCCGTTTGGGGTACAGAAAACTAGTACCAAGGAAAAGGAGGGGCACTCCTGGATTGGCTACTTTGCAAACACCAGATTTTAGTGACTGTCAAGTAGAATTGCATAGAGGTATTTGAGGTATTTGGACATTTGCTATTGATTATTTTAGAAAAACATTCTAAAATAGGCAAATTATTTAATAATTAATTAATTAATAATTTGGACTTAAGATGCACAGAAAAATCCTGAAACACTGAACTGCAAATAGGTGGGGGTCACTGTATGTTACAAGGTCAAAAAAAACAGAAACAGCAAACAAGCTAGCATTAGCATGGCACGCCAACAAAATGCTCAGCATGAAGATGGAGGAAGACGTGAGTTTGCTGAAGACTGTGTGTCGAGTCAGACATGTTTAGAACCATTGCAACCGTAGCAAAGCTATCCTGCAAAAAAACTCCAAATGATCCATTTCTAGCAACGAAAGGAAACACATGTTAAAGAGTCCAAGTCATCAGCAGAAAGCACGTGGTAATACTGATGAACAGAGGAGAAATATTTTCCTTTTCAGAGAGAGTCTGATCAGACTTAAAGTTGGACAGGATTAGGTCAGTGCGTTGCTAAATTGCAGAGAAACAGAATTCACCCTGCAAAAACTGGCAGGTAGAGATCGCTTATTTACCTACCACATGAAGTCATCTCCCTGCACAGATTGTCTTCAAGTGATTAAGAAGGTGTAATTAAAGTCTGATTACTCCCATGAGAGCCATGGGTCAAAAGCTTAACAGCTGCTAAGGGAGAACATTGCATTGACCTTCCTGGACTGGGATTGTATTGAGGAGCAGCTTGAGAGTCCTCATTTCCTGAAACAGCACAACCTACTTTACACAGGTCCCTCAGGAAAGGACCACCAATCAGTGCAGTTCATGTTCACGCATTATTAGCAAAAACGTTGTTCCTGGAGAAATTTCCCTAAATATACTCTGTGCGATATTTATTAGGACACCAAAACACGGTGGAAATAGGATTTCCTGATTTAGTGTGAAGAGAGGTTTTTTTTTTCTTTCCCCAAATTGTGGAGCTTTTAAGATAAGAATATTAGGAAATTAAAACTAGGAGGTACTTATTTTCAAGAATAATCAAATTTCCACAGACTATACTTAATACATGTTTAGAAGGACATGTCGGCACATAAAAGAAAAACATTTCAAACATATGTAGAAATGTTTTTATCTTTATATTAAGGAGGCAGTACAATGCTATTCAGACACCGGCTGCCTTTGTATTAATGTTCTTCAAGGCCATGCCTTCGACACCAAAGAGAAAAGCCATGATGCCACAAAATTCTCCAGTTGGTGGATACAGAACGCCAAGACATTAAGTAAGGTTTCTGCATGCGGTCAGCTTTTTTTTTTTTTTTTTTTTTATTTATTACATTTATTTCCATGGCAATTTGTAGAAAGAAAAAAAGTTGCTAAGACCATTTGAAAATATCACTTTTCTAAACATCCAACTGTGTTCACTGCATTGTGCTTCAATCTGAAGGCCAGAGGAAAGCTGGAGACTCTGCACTGCTTAAATTTGCTGTTTGTTCAAATATGAAGTTATGAAGGAAAACTGTAAATCTAGTGATTACAAGGAAAGACATTACATAAATATCACCTGATCTGCCTCAGTGAGGAGACCCAGAAGCCAACTCTTCATGGCGCATGTGACGTACACTGAGCTCCAAAAGTATTCACACCCACATGGCAAACTCACACCTCAATGGATTTCACTGAGATTTTTGGAGCGGCACATATTTTATAAATACAACTCTGAAAGGCTTTGGTGGGCTTTTCTAGTCAGCCCCTTTTTATTTTAATGCCGGTAAATAAAATCCAACTGCAACATTTAAGGAGAAATGCTAGACAGGACGAAGCTGTGGAGCAGGTTAAAATAGAGTTTTAAAGAAAAGGGAGGCATAATTATGCTGTCTAGATGCTTCTTCTTACAAAGGGAAGCTGCTTAAAATTAAGAGCTAAAGATGGGGCAGTACTGGCAAAACAAAACTGTGTTAGAGGCCATGACAGACGTGAGACTGAGGCAATGGATCAACTTCCAACAGGACGATGACCCTAAGCAAACAGCCAGAGTTATAATGCAATGGTTGGGATCCAGTTCTGGATGCATCCCTGCTCCAGTACACCTGGTTCGAACTAGGGATGCAAATATATGAAAATCTGAGCCAATAATATCTCATATTGATCTTGCTATAAACGATAACCGGTATTTACCAATAGTATATGTATATTTTGTGAAAAAATGACCACACTGTTGATTTTGCCCACACTGCATCACTGTCTCACGTCCAAGCAAATACTCCACAGTCAATCCCGAAACATAGACAAATCGCAACAACATGGAGCATTACATAATAATATAAGTCAAGTTTTACTTAATGGGAACCAGAACCAAAACTCTAAAAAAAGACTGGCAGTGATGTTAACACTGATACATTGCATCTGAATAATTCAAATTATTGCATTACTGCCTCAAGAGCTACAGAAGCCTGGTAAAATCCCACTGATTATAGTTCAGCTATGTGGCAAAAGGGAAACGCCTACAATATCAAAGTCCAGACCTGAATCCACCTGACAATCTGCGAGACTTTAACTCTGATGTCTGGGGTTCAGTGTGGCTCGGCTGGTGGAGCAGGTGCACCATGTGCAAACTCTACAGTTTTTAAAAAAGACAAACCCATGTCGCTTTCCCTCCACGTCACAATTCTGTGATACTTTGAGTATCGCTCGGCTCATGAGTGAAGACTTTTTGCAAGACACTGCATATGCAACAGCTGGCATGAATCTTATTTCCAGTTCAAGTCAAGGCAATACTGCCTGGAAACTGAACACAAACATTTCTCACTTCATAAAACATATTCAAATTCATTCAGCATTACAACTGTCAAAATTATCACATAAATCTTAGTCAGAACAAAGCACTTTATAAGCTTAAGTATCACTTAACTGGTGTCCTAGTTGAAGTTTAGGGTGTTTCATCAGCATAGCTGTAATAAACTCTGGTGACACCATCCTGAAGCAAATTTCTTTCATACCGTGGGGGTTTCCTGCTTCCTTCTTTTCTAACCTTGTGTCTGAATGTGGCCTGATGTGAAAGTAACCTTATACTTTATGTGCAAAAGTACAAACAGAAGAATAATTCTGTATTAATAATGGGTGCATGCTGAGCTTAGGGTTACCTTTAAACTTCCTGCAGAACATCTAGTTTACCACAATAGAGTGTGCCAAATATATCCATATTTATGTTGCGAAAGTGGAAGTGAACACAAAAAAGGAACACAACAGAACATGCAAGTCACAATACAGAAATACACCAAAAGTAATCCTACCTTTATTTCCCTCTTTGGGATTACTGGAAGACAGCTGAAGCCCTTTGCAGTGTGTTGAAATCTGCAGAGATTGAGAAATACAGACAAGTCTGTGTTACACAAATAGATTACCTAACTATAATTTGGCTGTGGAGGACCACACCAGCATAGTAAACAGAGCCATGTGGGAGCCACGCTTGTTCTGGGTTTCTGTCATTCATGAGTGGAAAGAACTCGGCCAAGGACCTGCATACTCCCCCTGATGACCACAGGGCAGCTAGTCTGGAATGTCAAGGTCCTGGCACCAAACATGGGACAGTATGGCATTAGAAAACAACGACAAGAGGGGAAAAATAAACTGGTAGGTGATATCACATCTAATGGAGATACACTTCTAAAAATGTGGGGTAAATTTAATCAACCCTCCAGCTGCTTCTACAGTTGGCCTTCTGGGGGCAGCAAGGTGCTCTCCTAAGCTGGTATAAATGCTGTTATCAGTAGAAGAAGAGGACCTAGACATGTACTCTATTCCTGACGTGAAGCTGTTGGCATAAAAATCAACAAACTTTTTTTTTTTAATAAAGAGTCAAAACAATCAATAGTCATAGGCCTGGCTAGTTTTTGACAAGCTGGTCTTTTCACCCCTTCATCTTTCCTTTCTATATTTTTACATTGCTGAGCTTTTTTTTCCCTCATCTTTGATTGCCAATTCACGTCATTTTCTAGACTTTAATGTGTGAAATTTCTGGACCATTCTAGTCCTTTCCTGCTAATATTACCTGCACCTGCTAGAATATGGGTATACTGCAAGTCTGCCCTCTTTCATGGCAGAGCAAAAGAGGACAGAGGATGATTTTCAGACCTTTGCCGAAGTCGATAAGATTGGTAGATAAGATCAGATTCTCATGTAAGCATAGGACAATCAACGATCTCCCAAAATTAAGGAAATTGGGGACGATTTAGCAGTCAGTCGATTTATGGGTGCAAGTATGCGTTTAAAGCCAATTCAGGTCCCTGTTCTCTATAATGAATGCCTACAGCAGAAAAGCCTAAATAACGCTGCAAAGCACAATGAATTCATATTCAGTCATAAGTGTGTTATAATAAACTTGTAACAAGGTTACAAGTTTATTAATGCCCATTATTATCATTTTGGTTGCCATGAAGGGTAAACAGTAAAGAAATGTTGTTTCAATAAGCAGAAGAAACTTGCTGCTTGCTTGCCTTTACCCAACTAAACTCTTTCAACAACAGAACCAGGTGAGTCAATAATGTCTGCTTGTTGGCTCAATAATTCTGGTGTCTGGTTACATAATCATTTATGTATTATTGACAAATCTGTTTAGTGTGTAAACAACCTACGCAGAACACTAGCAACAGAATATGGAGGATCCTGTAGTTGGTAAAAACACTGAACCGTCTTTTCAAAGACAGAACATCAGAGCAAAACAGTCAATCGTCCTTCAGTATTTCTCTTTTAAACTACTAACTAATAAAAATGTTATCTGCAATACGGGGCAAGGCACCATGTTACATGTTGCACCCATCCTGGAGAGTCCTACACACATTTGAAGCAAGTATTGGTACGTTAATGTTACGCCATGCATGTTGTGTGAGGAGCTAAGAAATGCTTGTTAGGCCCAAAACAACATGTACTCGAGCTTATTTTGGGTACATATATTTTACCAAGATTATGTCTTTGTCTGAAAATATCATTAGGCCATCAGTAGAAGACCACCACAAAGAATTCCACAAAATCTTATTTATTAAATATATACATATGGACACCATAATGATGCAAAAGAAAGAGAACAATGAAGGAAATGCAGGCTTATCACAACTCATATTAATACAATATTCAGCAGTAATGCCGTTTTTATTGTTATTTTCCTAATCTTGTGCAGCCCCTACTTTCAGTCTAAGCAAACACCCAAATCAACAACAGTTTTCATCCACATAAACCCGCACAAGTACGCATCTGTGCATTGTTTTAGACTTTCCAAACCCATAGGGGGCAGTGTAGCACAAACGTGAAAACCTGTCAGCCAATCAGATTGCATCAAAACAACCACAGCTTCCTGTTAGGAACGATATTTTTCAAGGTAATATTGTAAGACAACTTTAAAATATTACAGTGTTTGAGGATGACAGCTTAAGGTATATCGGGTGTTGGAGGGAATTTCAAGCATTATATCATTTTAGCCTGTGCAGTAACCTGTGTAATAAGGTTATTGAGGTTAAGGTTTTTTCAGGTGTTTTCTTCCAACAGATTTGTTTGTATTTTGACTGAATTTTTTTTTTAAAATGTGTGTCACAACAAGGTGCATCCACACAACTTCAGCATTGTATATTATGAAATTTGTTCACATATACAAACTGTACTCTATAACACAGCTAATAATTTAGATGTATTTTTACGCTGTCTCGTAAAACTTAAAAACAGGAAAGATCAGACAAGTTCTGAAAAAACAGAGTGACATTGAGCTGGCAGTAAGCTTGCTCCATGGCTGTGGAAAATTAAATCGGACAGGTTTTTAGATCATTTAAAAACTGGACCACTTTAGTGAAAATAGTCAGGCTGGCACCCACTTCAGTGTGGAGGAAAACACGACAACATTCGGAATGACAAGCTAAACCATTTAAAGTGGTTTAGAGTCCAACCTTTACTCTTCCAAGACCCTGAACAATTACCAATTTCTTCATGATCCTGAACTCAATGCCATCCAGGAGACATTTCTGCTCCACAAGTACAACTTTCTCTTCCTTTAGCCACAAGAGGAGATCTCGAAGGGAAAAACTCCCTGAGCAGCGATCCGTTTGAAAAGCGTTTGGAAATATTTGCAAAACTATGTCTTGGTACTAAGAAGAACAGATTTTGACAGTTTTTGACTAGCATGAACATATTCTCCTTTAATAAATGATAATTTCTTCTTAAATATTTATGCATAATCTGCATCAGCAAATTAAAATGAGTTTTATATCAATTGGCTTTTTTTTTCTCCACTCATTCTTACAGTGGGGAAAAAATATATATGACAATTACAGAAATATTATGTGGTAATTCTTTGTGAACTATGTCTCATCTGACACACTTTTGCTCATGACAACAGGTGGAGGGTTATTTCCCCCCTCCTTTTAAAAATCCACCACCCAGAATCAAACTCCTTCAAGAGTTTCCTCATTAAAATATGCCAAGAAACACAAACAGCAGAAGCTACTAGGGGGGCCCGGGCTCAAAGGCAGCCGAGGCATTTATCTTTCAACTTAAACATCATCAGCGCTGTCAAATGAGTCCCTTTTTAGCCTGAGATTTTAAAGACGGTTCTGTTTAATGTTGGTTGAGTTGAAAATGTGTCGCAGTGACGCAGATGTATTCGGTTTGATGACAGCTCTCCCTCGGGGGACCTTGTGTTATTGATTTGAAATTCACATCTAAGCCAAACTTTGTGTTCAGTCTTTTTAAGAGAAGAAAGTTGGGATTTATTTTTCATTTCATAACGGAGTCACATCTAAGGTCTCGACCGACGTTCTTGTTGCTCTCACGAGGAGGGAGCGGAGCGGAGGCTCTAAACTTTCACAAAGGTTTTTGGTTAAGGAGGCAGGAGGCGGGAGACCTTCACATGAATAACTGAAAACCTACTTAACATGAGGAACCTGGACCGACTCTCTGTAACTATGGTGTACAAGTTCATTCACACTACACAAGAATCTCACAATGCATCTCTTCTTAGATACACAGGGTTTTGCAATCCAGACGGTAATTAGAAGGTGAATATAAAGAACACTCTAGGGAGGATCATTATAACAGCGCACTCTGCATATTTCTGTCCACCATAACCTAGAATCCATATGATTGTATATGACTTCTATGCATATTTGACTTTATCATAACACCCTGACTGATGGAGAAAAGTAGCTGTGACTTTCCGGCTCGGTGTAGATCTCCCTCGACGGACCAGAACCAGTTAGTGCCATCTGGAAATTATAAGTCTGAGAGAAGCAAAGATGTGGGGTGCCTCAAGGCTGTGTTCTCAGCCCATTTTCATTCAATATTCACATGCTCCCCCTTGTTTAGATTATACAGTGTTGCATCATCTCTTACCACACCTTGGCTGATGACATTTACATTTCTTCGTCACCACAAGACTACAGTCCTTTAAAGTTATACAGTAAGTGACTACATGCAATACACTTGAGTAAATGGGGCAGAATTTACTCAAGCTTAAATCTAAAAAGGCATGTCTTCTTTTTGGGCTTAGAAATGCATTGTCGGGACATGAGCACCTAACGATCTACTGTACGGTGGTGCTAAAACTTACAGTGTGTCATAAGTATGTTTACAGACTAAAATCTACATTTCTTTTACAGCTGTCATCTACAAGGAAGAAAAAAAACTCGAGCATTAATTTTTAGTACAATAGATTATTGTAACATACCAGTCATGCTGTACTGACATGCCTTGTATTTCTATGCGATATCAAAAAACAGCTTTAAATAACAGGGTTGCCTTTCTACTGCCATGGTATTGTAGAATATGTCATTTGATCTCAAGCTAAACCACACCATCCCAGTTATTTTGAACATCTTGAAGAAATCTTATAACATGACTTGCAACTTTTAAACACATATATACACTCCATAAATTTGCAACCACCTCAGAATTTATGGAAATTGTGTTCAAATTTTGTAATGAAATGTTCACATATAAACTTTGCTAAGTTGAAGTTAATTTTACAACAATGGAAATTTACTCACAGCAGCATTCTAAATGCTTGAATTTGCTGACACTGCAGCAAAATTGACTCAATTTTTCCGATCATTTCAGCAAATAGGAATTTTGACCAATTGGGAGGAGACGGAATAGAATAGAATTTAGCGGAAATATTCACACAAAGGTAAAAAAATATATAAGTACACATTTACCACACAAGAAAAATAATACTGTGCAGTTATTTAAAAGACTATATAAACAAAGACTTTTTCAGCCAAACATGGTCTGGTTCATGATTTGTAATGTAGCAAATTAAAAAGTATCACTACACTGTAAATGCTTCACCCTTCAGCCTGAAACACACACAAAATAAACAATACTTTATGTTTTCCGAATGCAATTAATTTCTTCACATTCAAACCCAAGTCAAATAAAAATGTTGATAACCCAACATAAGTGACTGGATAAATGAAGATAAAAAGTGTCCTCGCATGTATTAGATATAACTCAATAAAGAAGAAAAACCAGCGAGGCAGCGCAAGCCAGAGTCTTGACCAACAGTCAGAAAAGGGATTATAGGACACCAGTCTCTAAGCTACTGCGCTTCCAGTTAGTAAAATGGTAGATTTAACATCTCCTTATTGGTTTGAGAACAACTGCAGTTTGGAGTTGCTAATCAGGTGTAATAGAAAAAAAATCCCTCAGGTCATCAGAGACCTTTGTGTATCCAGGACAAGAACCAGAACCAAACAAGGCACCATACCGTTTCTCTGCTCCTCAGCATTGGAACCAACTTCCTTAAAAAGTTGGCATGTGCAGAAACTAATTTAAATCAGAACTGACAACATTATTGTTTAATGCAACTTTTTCTACAAAGACTAAAGCTTATCTCAACAGTTTATCAGTTTCTGTCATTGGTTCTTATCAATCCGCTTCAATTTGTATTTTACTACTTCCTTTTTTTTTAAGTCATGCATAAAGCTGAACGCAGCTCCATTAATGTATTGTTAGTCTCGTCATCTTGTGCTTCAATGTGCTGTTTGTTCTGTAAAAGCACTTTATATTGGAATATGTATGAATCGTGCAACAGAAAATAGAATTAAACTCCATTTTTACAAGGATTCTCTCATGTGCTTCTCTTTTACAGAGCAGGCTGGTAATAGATTCTCATGGTGTAAAAATAGTACAGTAACAAAGATTGAAAATTTAAAACAAAAATCATAGCTTTATCTAACTGCCCTTTCTAAAAGAAAACTACAAGTTCACTGCTCTTAAAGGAACATATTAAATCTTACAGTCATAATTTATTTATAATTAAATTGTCATTTTTATCTGAATGGCTCACAAAAAATAGACCTAGGTGTTACAAAAAAATTAAGCCGGAGCTCGATTCACATAGTTAAAGTGACGTCACAGATTATGTATGACACCTTTTTGGGGTGTGTGATGTAGTAATGCTCGAAGAGACCAAAATTAGTAATATAAACGAAAAGTCCTACAGATCGAGGCAACAGATGCCTTCACTCAGCCAGCTGACAGAAAAGCGCACAGCAACATCTGGGAGGAAGGAGATTACAGAACTTCTCTATGCTACACAGCTGGAACAAAACGGAGTCGACCCGGCTTGTTTTTTCACGGCTCAATGAAAATGGCATTTGAACGCAGAACCACTTTGTATTTTAGAATCTGGACTTGCGTCCAATGCGCAGGGGAAAGTTTTGTTTTTCTAAAATGGGAACTCTTAAAAAAAAAAAAAAAAAAAAAATTGGCCCCATAGTTAAAATGTCACCCTCATGTAATGACATAATAGCCCAACCTTTAACTTGACCTATAACCTCAAATGTGTCACACATAAACAATAGCGGCAGACTACATGTTGGTCTTGCAGATTATTCATTTTATGATAAAACATGAAAGAGAAAAAGCTTGACTTTGTTGTTACGCCACACAGCTAAACTCTAATTTGTTGTTTTTCATTCTTGTTTTCTTGGCTTTATGCGAGTGTCCTGTACTCCATGTTTTGTGCCACTTGCAGGTCTAGCAAAGTAAAAATAGCATTTTCGGGATGTTGTTGGTGTTTCCATGTGTATGAAGACATTTCTGGAAGCATTCCTGTGTGGACAGGTGCCTAAGTTGTGAGCTGCAGAGTTATAAGCACAGCAAGTGTCCTCAATAGTAAGTACAATAAATAGGCCTCGCTTAAACTGACCAGTCCAGCAAAGGTCGGTGCGGCTGGGACGACTATTTTGTCTGTATCCACTATAAAACAGTCCCATAGAACCAAACCTTACCGCATCATTGCTGAGCTCAATTCATTTGTAGGTCCGTAGAACATTGGTACAGTTAACTACTGGTATCATACAACACAGGCCATTGATTGGGGGACAGAAACGTTGTCACTCTAGTATCATGCAATGTTAGACATTTGGGTTTATCCCCGCCTGTCCAGTGAGAGTCCAACTGGTAGTGGAAAGATCTCCTGAATAAGCAGAATACATGGAACCTGCAACAAGACTGTAGTTGGTGAGATGCAAATCAGTAATTTATTGGTCAAACATTGAGGTGCAAATCTTTTTTTCAATTGTGGTGGAACAGCATCTACGGCATCAACTGTACAGGACAACCCGCAACAAACAAATAAAAAAAGAGATTTCAGAGAAACTGGCCGCCTAAGGGTGCATGCAAAAAATAACACTGGAGCGTCGACTACAGCAGCGTTTCCCAACCCTGGACTTCAAGGCACACTGCCCTGCATGTTTAATGCGTTTCCTTGCTTCAGCCTAGGTGATTTCAACTGACAGGGGTTTGCTGAAATGTAATCAGCTGAATGAGGCAGAGAATCATCTAAAACATGCAGGGCAGTGTGCCTTGAGGACCAAGGTTGGGAAAAACTGGACTACCAAACCTGCGCACCCACAGCCTGTCCACGTTCCTCCATTTTAGTGAGGAACAGCCTGCCATGAGGAGACACAACCAACTTGACTAGAACCGAACCTGACATTAACCAGCTAGAATGAGACTTGAAATTGGAGAAGGGGCTACAGCGTACCCCTATAGGGTACCAAACCACACCGACCCATGCTGGGTTTCTGTGAAAACAAGGAAGTAGATCCTTGAAGTGAATGGTTTACTCTTGATGTCATTACAGCTGCATCACTGTGAACTTTGCAGCATCTTATGGTCAGATTTTTTGTAATCAGATGAGTGATGAAACAGGTAAACATTAAGTAAAACACAGAGAGGGTATCTAATATCATTATTCTGTTATATATGCCATGATGCTCAGTGCTACATATGAAGAAATAAGTTACATTATGCTGTAAAGTGTGGCTCTGAGGAGCCTGGTGTGTTCTTTGAACTCCAGGCCTGCATACTGATCTCAGAGCAGTGCTCTGAGGATGACACAGGCCCACTGTCAGGTCTGCTTAATTATCTCTCTGTCTACGTATTTGAGCGATAAGGGGGTCTAACATGTAAGGTCTAAAGGACACAGCCTTCGCGGTAACCCCACGATGACATACAACTGCCTGCAACTTTAATGACACCCACCGTGAACTGCACTAACGTGGCAAATCTGCGCTGTCGTAAACACCCAGCCAGGTCTTGTCATACGTCACCCGCTACGCCTGAAAACTAACTAAATAAATAAGGACAGACACCGGTTTTCTGCGACTTCAGTGAGCACGAGTTTCTTTATAGTGAAACTCGGCGACATATTTCTGTGCAGAAAAAGGGGCTCTCCTTCACTCTCCGGTGACAGTCTGTTCTTCCGCATTGCTCGGCTTGTGGACCACTAAAGCTAAAGCAGAACCCACCACCCCCGGCCCCCTCTCTCTCTTCAGAGAAGCAGGGAGTCCCGAAACTTTTGACGGGCTGCACACGCTGTCTGATTTTTTTTTTTTTTCTTCTCCCCTCAACGCATGAATGAGCTCCTCTCTCAGCTCGAGCTAGCGACATGTTAGCTTTGTTAGTACCCTAATGTAACATTCCTACCGGGCCAAGGCTATCCGCGTCGAGTCCACGCCCTCACTGTTAACTCCGTCCGAGCTACAGTCAAACTCATATTCGCGTCCCAACAAGGCCGAACAAAACTGCAGAGAGGAGCTGCTCCAAGCTGCAATCAGTTTACCAAGCCGAGCAGAGCCCGGTCAGCTTAAACCGTTTCAACAAAAGAAGTGGAACCGATGCTCGGGCTTACCTCGCTTTCTAGGAAACGAGAGAGAGGCTGAAGTCCCAACCAAAAAAAAAGACAGCCCCCCCACCCCCAAAAAAAGGGAGAAGTCCAACTTTTCTTGATCCAAATTGTGGGAGAGTTGAAGGCAGTGACGTCACGCCCTGAAATTCCAGCCGTCTCAGTCAGATCAGAGGTTTGCCCATGTAAGGCAGCAGGCCAAAACACTGACACACACACGCGGCACAGCACTCACACACTGCTGTCTGCACAGAGGGAAAAGAGCAATATACTTTAAATTACTTCTCCCTGCGCATAAAATGAAACATCTCCACGTTTATTGTACAGTCAGAGGCGTATTCAGGATTCTCCGGGACTCTGGGCTTCAGACAGTTTAAGGGGGCTCTATCCCAGTCTGTGCAAGTTTTGATAACTGGATGTTCTCATCATCAATCAACACAAACCAGAGGTTTTTCATTTTCAAAGTATAAAATATTAAATTGAAATACGAGCTGTGTTTCTTTTTATGGCTCCAAACTGGAGAAGAAGCATGTCTTGCATGCCCTTATAGGGGAAATTCTCAAAGAAAACTCTGTTCAAAATCCTATGTTGTTTACATGTTCAGATGTTTCTCTGATCAAATACGCACTGGTAAAACTACTCAAGCTTAATGTTGCTGTGCTTGGATTAAGCCCAAAATATTCAAACAAACAACTTTGCTTCTCTTAGGAAATGAGAGCCTATAATGTATTCTACTTTAAAATTAAAATCTATTTCTTTTTTGACAGGTATCTAATGAAAAAAATACAACTATAGATAAATGCTCTACCCACTTTTTTTCAGAGTAAAAGTGCCAAATAATGTTTAAAAAGAATCTCTCTTGAGAATAGAATGACGCAGATGCAGGTAGCGTCTGCGTCATTAGCAGCTAACATTTAGCCTCTTTTGTTATCCTCAAAGTTGAGTCATATCTTATACTATGTCACCATTATTTTTCCCTTCATATAATGTCACACAAACAATTTTACAAAGTTTTTAACTCTGTCTATACAACAGGGCAACTCAAGAATCACTTCCTTTCTTACTTCAAAATAAGAGTTTCAAGTGTAGCTAAAAAAAAAAAAAAGAAGAAAGAAAGAAATCCAGCTTTCTCATTTAGGCTTCATTAAAATAGCTCACATTTATTTCACCAGACAAGTGACAAGAACCGAATAGTGGTTTGTTACAAATACTTTCACTAGAAATTTAAAGGTACTTTTTTAATCTTGAGATTTCATACCACAAGCTTTAATTAAATAAGGCTAATAGGCCTCATTCACATGAAAACAGATTTTCTAAAAGCATCTTTTACTATTAAATTATTAACTAATAAATAATTGATGGAGTCAACCTTCACACTGTTTTGTTGTTTTGTTTTTCCCCCCATTATTGCTGTTTTTTCTAAATGAAAACAGTAAAATAATCTGACAAATAAAAAGCACTACTAGTATTTGTGATGGGCTTCGGGTTAAGGGTTAGGTTTGAGGTGCAGTTCTCACAGCACTGCTTTAAATAGTTACATGTGGTTATCTATACTTCAGAGTGATAAAAGTGATTTTTACTCAAATATTTTGCCATTGAAAGAAGAAAACCTTATCTTGGGAGTCCCCCAAAAACATGCTGCCCTGGGCTACTGCCTGGCTAAGCCTATGCTAAAGTCCAGGCCGATGTGCAGTGGACACCTATAAAGTGAAAATCGGAAGACAAAAAGCAACACTAAACAACTAAAGCTTTTTACCAATAGACTTTAAACATTTATTTTAATCCTCACTTAAAATCTGTTAATAAACGGGGGATGGGGGGTCAGACTCCGCATTTCACAAGACGGTGGCTAAAAAAAGGATGCAAGCACAAAGCACTCATCCGGTGAAGTGTGAATTGGCATATGTTATAATATGACCAAATTCAAATGCAAACAATGTGCACTGCATGCTGCAGTGCTCCCATATCCTGTCATGCACCGCCTGTCTTCTGGAAACGTGAGAAAAAAAAATTGCTCATCGGTGTCTGTGGTTCCATTCTTCAACCATAATCTAAAATTAAGTGGATTTTCTTCTGGTAAATATTACAGAAGTAACACTTACCAAACCTCTGAGTTTAATGGTTAAAAACCAGACACCAGAAATGTCAAAAGAGAGTAGAGACGGGGGGGGGGGGGGGGGGGGGGGGGGGCCGCGGGGGGGCTTCGGGGGGG